GGTTGGCTCAGCAATAAGTCTGATGGCTTATGACATTAAAACTTGGGTTTCGATAGCCTCGGAGGGCAGAACACAGATAGCACATTGCGTACCTTTGTGCTTTACTAACAAACAAAAAACACAACTCTTCAATCGTTAACTGATGTGAAAATCCACTTCTCATCCTGGTCAGCAATCGGTACATGTTGATACTTGTTTATTATATTTGTGTTTGAGATATCTTGAGACTATGACGACGAATTTGGCGAAATTCGAAACTATAATTGCTCTCTGAAAATAACGAATTTGTTATTTCCTCATTTTGTTGCAACTGTTTAGCGTCCTAATCCCCAAAAGTAATGAAAAAAAATAAACTGCTGTTTAATGACAAACCGTTCAATAACGTATTGTTGCCGTTGAGAAATGTAAAAATATTTTTGCTGTCATTTTAATTCCTAATTGTTCTCGCAGCTAAGACTTTTCTTTACTCAAAATTAAATCTGATGTAAAGATATTTATTTATGACAATTATATCCGCGCCAAGTGCTAAGGTTCTAGTAAGTATTAAATAATCAAGTACCTTAATGAGTGTGTCAGTTTTAATTAACGATTTGGATGACAATTAAAAAACGTGTGACTGAACAAAATAAACGTCTGTGTAGTTTAGGATAAAACTTAATGACTTTATACTTAGCTTCCAAGAAAATCAAAGCATAATTCATGCTAGTCGAGGCACCAGTGTACTTGAACATAAGAGAAACCTTTCATCATACTATTGAACTCTAAGAAAAATCTTTAATGAGGGTTTAATAATTAAAACGAAAAAACAGTGCCGCTCTATAACAGTGATTACATTTAATCCCTTCCTGAGCACTTCCTAAACTATGTTTATGCTAAAATTAAAACGAATCACGTCATCTTGCTCATGTCAGGCCACACGCGCAAGGCACGTGCCGCCTGCCAGCTATCAAATATTTCAATTACCGTTTAATGTTGCTATCAGGGACGGTGTTGTATCAAATTTCTGCTAAGTTAAGAGCCATCAAGAACCTTATATAGTCGTATAGTAGACTATGTCATAATGTTGTTTTTTGTTATTTCGTTAATACAGTCTTTGGGGCAGAATCTTCGTTTGAAAAACGTCTTGAATTATTTATTTTAATTCATCTTTTTAACCTAAGAGTGGTATTCTATGGGAATACAGTTTGCCCAAATATATGTTTTGTTTTGAAAATATTTAAACAAACCAAATTTGGATGGAAACCAACTTCAACCTTAGAGTTTAATACGAAACCAAAAAATACCTTATAACCCTAATCTGAGTCCTGTTTAATTATTTTAGACTTTTTTTATTTTATTATTTTAACTATTTATTGTTAACTTAACTTAGTATGTTTACAGATTATTTAGCTATTATTAAACTGATACTCATTAACTGACAATATTTCAAATACTTTATTATGCTCTTAATTTATACATTTCTAAAAATGAGAACAAAAGGATAGTTATAAAAAGGATTCCCTCACCTATTCCATTTTTTTTGCAATTATGACCCAAAACGTGTCAAAACGAAGAAATACTCGGTATCGAAAGTTTAATTGTGTTTTTTTTTTTTATCAAGATCACAAATGTGATGTCAGAGCCAAAGCTTTTAGAGTTGGCGCTGATTCTTAGAACTAGCATAAAAAAACCAGCACTATGTTGCGGGATTCAAAGACCCCCCCCCTCCTCCCTCAATATTCACAGAGGCCCCAATGTACAATTTAAGCTCCATCGTTATCCTCAATTACTTCTATGAGTATCCCAAGGCGGGATGGGGGGTGGTAGCATACCCATAAAAAACTCCGTAAGGTATCCATCCTTCGTACTTGGGCATGCGCGTAAAGTTTGGTCCTGCTAGCTAGTGAGGAGGGTGGGTATGAAAATGGTTTCAAATATGGCGCTCCTGGGATCCAGAGGGAGCCAGGAACAAAAACCCCGATGCCAAATTCGGGTTCAGCGACCCTGAAAACTTACTCATAGATCCCCATATACCTGTTTACCTTCCGTACGTATTTTAGCCCACCCCTACCCCTTCATCTTGGCAGGGGTCTACGCCATATGGATAAGGACACTCCCTGAGCCACCCCGAGTCCGCCTGCCAAGTATGGTCTTGCTACTTCTAAAGCTGTAGGAGGAAATCGTAGACAAACAAACAAATAATAAATAAATCTACACACAACGTGAATTAATATATATTGAATAAAAAATATTATAGTCTCCAACTTGTATATGCTTATTATGTCTTGGTAGTAATGAGATGATTAGTAATATGATACGAATAACTGTTTTTTTTGTTTTTTTATCTGCCACCTATGGCAACACAAAAATGAATTACCACATTTCCTTCAAATGTGATATAAATTTCTGGAATCTTTATGACAGTCCCTCTTGTTCGAAACGATCAAGAAGTTACATGAGTGTAATATTGCTCTTGGAATAAAGCCTACTTTTTAAACTGACATTGAAGACATTTGTAAAACATGAACTTGCATTTACTACTCACATGTGAGTAAATGTTTGAAGTTATAAACAGACAGTAAACTTATATAAGTTTATATAAGTAAACTTATATACTTATAGACAGTAAACAACATAAGCATGAAGATCAAAATTTTAACACCACTTAATTCCGTTACTTTCAAGTTATCTAATTTTTTTTATTTAAAAAATGTATATATTTCACAGTAGTGCAAATATATGAGTTCTAAAACGCGTTGTCCCCCAGTGGCACGGCGGACTTACAACGCTAGAAACCGGGTTTCGATACCCGTGGTGGGCAGAGCACAGATAACCCATTGTGTAGCTTTGTGCATAACTACAAACAAACAAACCAAAACATGTAACATTGGCTAGACACGCGCAAATAACAGCAACATTGTTTGCTTTCGACAAAAACAGTTTTTATAACGTTACGAAAACTGCACGAAGGGAATACTTTTTCAACTAAAAAAAACTATAATTTTAACATTTCCTTATAAAGAATACAATTTAAAGTATTGTATTTGTATTCTGTATGTATGGCAAAGCTATTTAGGCTATCTGCCGCCGCCACTAATTTTGAACTTATGACCAAATGGGAGGTAGCTAGTCAGCAACACCCTACCAATCACCATCGATGGTAAGATAGGGACTGTCACTCTTATGATGCATTCACAACCTAAAGTACTGAGAATATTTTCTAGCTCCTAAACCCAAAGCTCTACCATAGGGCCAACTAGTGCTATTTCATTTTATATCAAGCGAGCTTTGAGACACCGAGAATCCGTTTGCATATTGAATACAAACATAATAAAATCAGTAGTGAATTATAGTATATATATATATATATATATATAATAAATCTATTTCACCGATAGATGCATAATTAAAAACAAGTATACTATTTTGGTCCATGTTACTACCGCGAGGGTTTTCTCTGGCGCTCAGAGAGTTGCTTTTTCTGTTTCTAGTAGTGCCATTTATTGGATAATGTAGCTGCTGAATGTTAATTTTTTTATTTTACCAAGCCGCTGTATGTCCTAACCATAACATCAATGAAATTTAAACAAGACTCGACATTCAATATACGTATATAGTCACGTGACTCAACTACCAGTGTTAGGCCCGTCGAAAGGGCTGCTACGCATAGATTTTCCATTAGTATTAGTCATTTCGATACGTTTTAGCTGGAGTTGGTTAGCAATATAAACCAAAAAAGTTAAAATAAAAATATTTATATATTAACTGAAAAGCAGTTAAATAGAATATAACAACAAAAAAAGGATTATTCTGGTGTTCTTTAGTAAGCTTTTAAACTGAATATATTATATATATATATAACCAAAATGGATTTTTGAAGTTGTGGAATTATTTTATTTCATGCTTGCTCAAAACTAAAGAAAGCTAACTACTTAAATAAAAACTTGTTTTAATAAAGCTACCGTTTCGGAACGATGTGATTTCTGTTTGTAATAATACAACTAACAATGCCGTATAATTAAACTTTACAGCTTGTTTGCTTGTTATTTTTTTAATTTCGCGCAAAGCTACACGAGGGCTATCTGCGCTAGCCGTCTGTAATTTAGCAGAGTAATACTAGAGAAAAGGCAGCTAGTTAATACTACCCACCGCCACCTCTTGGGCTACTCTTTTACCAACGAATAGTGGGATTGACCGTCACTTTATAACGCCCCCACGGCTGAAAGGGCGAGCATGTTTGGAGTGACGGGGATTCGAACCCGCGCCCCGCAGATTGCGAGTCGAGCGCCCTAACTACCTGGCTATGCCGGGCCACTTTACAGCTTTATATTAATCTTGATGTGACATGTAATAAAACTATTATGAATGTTACGCATAAGTGATCTACAAATCCATATTTTTTACAAAACTTTTGATGAAAACATGACTAATGAATATTATCTTAATAATGTAACGGAGTTGGTTTTGTTTCTTTTTTGTTAAACAATGGGCTATCTGTGTTCTGCCCACCGCGGGTATCTAAACTAGATTTTTATCGTTTAGCCCTCAGACTTGCCGCTGAAACACCGGGAAGGGGAGGACTAGTGGAATTGGTGTCATGCTTAGTGCAGTAACCATGATTTATGTATATTATCATAAAATACCCGTACTCTGCTGCGGGGTCAAAGGCCTCCCCCATTATTTACAGAGGCTAACGGAGCGTGAGGGGGAGGGGTATGAACATAGTTTCAAACATAGCGCCGCGGAGATTCCGAGGAGGACAAGAACACAAAATCTAATGTCAAATTCGTATTAAAGGATGAAACCTACTTCCACACCCCACATATTGCGCTACTGACCTTCTGGGAGGATTTGAGCTCCCCTTAGTAGATCGCTACGCCATATAGATAAGCCTCCCCCCCTGGGACACAAACAGTCCGCCTGCCAAATTTGGTCTTGCTAGCTCCAAAACTTTGGGAGGAGTTTGCGGAAAACAAATAAACTTTCAATGTGATTTAGCATGGGATCATCTTTAGACAAAAGTTAACGTCACACACTTTATTCAGTACAATCACGATTATGCTTTATCGTCTATTCTTAAAGTTGACGTCTAACATAATGAGTAACCATGAGTGTTCCACACTGAACCTAACAGATTAACCTAAATCGTATTTAGATTTAAGCTGACGTCATGCATAGTGCATTAATTTTGTTTGAAGTTAAGTACAAAGCTACACAATGGGCTATCTGTGTTCTGCCCACCACGGGTGTCCAAACACGGTTTCTAGCGTTGTAATTCCGCAGATATGCCACTGTGCCACTGGGGAGCGAGTGCATTAATAAAATATACACCAGAGAGTGTTTTTTCTTTTTTTTGATATGTGTGTTTTGTAGTTAACGGAGTTTTTAATTTAAATTATTTGCTTAAAAATAGGTATTTTATCACATAGCAAAGTATCAAATTTAGCATGAAATAATGCTATTGTCAAATCTATTGAAATTATATTATAAGATATTAATCGATACATAAACACACATGACAAGGAATTTATAATTTTTATTTAGGCTTAGTACACATATAACATGTTTATAGTGAAATGTTAATATATTAATTCTGGGTAGTCCTCAGGCGGATCAGCGGTAAGTTTACGGACTTACAAATCCAGGGTTCGATTTCCGCGATGGACAGAGCGCAGATAGCCCAATGTATGGCTTTGCGTTAAAACGAACAAACACTTCTTAGTACGACACAAAATAAAATAAAAATCCAAAGACATAAAGAACACCATAAACAATTAACCATGTTAGTGAAGTTTACCAGATCTCATTAAAGTCAAAATGAAATGTAAACTTACTAATTTCGCGCCTCTTCTTCTTTTAATGTATTAAAAAAATAGTATCTGTATTTGTTTGTGGTGAACAGTGTGGTCCACGCTGGTTTTTTAATAGCAAAACCTGTTGTTTGCTGTCTTTAGATACACAATTTATTATAACTATCAATTATTTTAAACTTTCTGCAAATGAGAAACAGCTTACAATAGTCTGTATATCAAATTAAGACCGGTAATAGATAAAGTGTGATTAGGCATTGCTTACGTTCTAATAATTGTTTTTTTTTTTTCTTATGTCAGTGTTCGGCCTTACAGGCTGCGGTTAGGTTCAAATTCTAATAATTTTCTTTTCCCCTTACAGAGAACAGCCCAGAAAGAAGTGTCTCTACCGCAGAAGGTAACTTCTACACGTATATCACAGAGCTGTCATCCCCCATGAAGCCCGCCAGCCCAAAGTCTCCTGCCTGCCTCTCCCGCCTCTCAGACTATTTTGTTGCTCTTCCCTTGATGGCTTACTTCGGGGATGAGCAGAAAGAGCCACTAAGTTTAACCGTGGAGCGAAGCTCTCCTACACACCAGCACGAACAGAATGATTCAAAAGTCACAGGGGGTGAAGCAACAAGCTCCCTACAGGAGGAAATTCTTCAGAACCATCAAATAGTCTCAGAAACGTCGACTTGTGATAGTCATTGTTGCCCCGACTGTGGTAAGGTGTACAGCACTAGTAGTAATTTAGCTCGCCACAGACAGACCCATCGCAATGTGGCCGATAAGAAATCTCGTAAGTGTCCACATTGTCAAAAAGTGTACGTGTCCATGCCGGCGTTCAGCATGCACGTGCGCACGCACAGCCAGGGCTGTCAGTGTCCGTACTGCGGTAAGTGCTTTAGTCGACCATGGCTACTTCAGGGCCATATCCGAACACACACTGGAGAGAAGCCCTTCGCATGCCCAGTCTGCAACAAAGCATTTGCCGATAAGTCCAATCTGAGAGCCCACATCCAAACCCACTCCACCAACAAACCCTTTATATGCCAAAGATGTGGTAAGGCCTTTGCTCTCAAAAGTTACTTGTACAAGCACGAGGAGTCTTCATGCATGCGACTGAATAAACACAGATCTAGTGGTCGAGGAGACAACAGAAATTCTTATCAGCATGTCTTAAAAAGTGAACAACCTTCCAGCGCCTTTAACAAACAGATGTCTCCACAGTTTCTGAAAATCTAGGCTTAAGATGCCAATTCCAAGAGTTTAAAAGTGCCATGAACTGTGACATTGAAAAATATGATCAAAAGCATCTTCAACCACAAGAAAAAAAAATGGATATAAAAAATAAATCAAACATTGACGCGCTGATAAGACATTTTGGTTTGAATAACAGTTTATTCTGGTTTTGATATTTTCTGTGCCAACAAGCTCCAATCTTTTGTGAAATTATATAACTCTTCGCAATTGGCTAGAGCTCTAGCAAAAATATATTATATACAAAGTTGGGTGATTTTTTTTTACTTATATTTTTTAATGAAAAAGAATCTCAGCTGTTTTCACAATTAACAAAAACAACTTGATTTTTATCACGTGCAAATTAAATAACTTGGTTTGTCGACAGAGGATTTAATACACTAAATATAGCATACATACATAGTTTCAAATATCACTAAATTACTAAAACTTTAAGATTCATTCCAAAAATCATTTCAGTATGAATAGTTTTCAATTTTCAATAATAATAATAAAATAAACACATTATATTACAAGCCAACATTCCTGAAAATTTTAACACGTTGGCTACGTTATTATTATTATTAAAAACTGAAATAGCATAGTTTCAGTTTTATGCAATGGAAGCACATCTTAGCTTTGAATCTTTATTGGTATCCCAGTTTTATTGGGAAGATGATCCTCCTCGAGAGAAGGCATTAAGACATTAAAGTACTTATAAAATCTTGTGGATTCACATATTTTTGGTGATTTATCTTTTATAAATAAAATATCACCCATTTCAAAGTCTGTAAAGGAGATCGTTGTTAATTTGGAATGGATAATAAACTCATTCGTTTTCACACTTTTATTCTTAACGACAAGAGATTGAGTGTAATGATGTGAAAATAAAATCGCATTAACAGAATTATATATCTCTGCTTAGTAAGGACCAACCGTTTTTGTTGTTTTTTAGGTTCGTGTGAATTATTTTGTGTGTTTTTACGAATTTTATAAAATATCAAGCATTATAAATAAGCTAGATCGTGTGAAAGATAAATTACTTAGTGTCTGATATTTATAGTGGATGTCTATTGTAGTTATAACAGTTTCAGAATGAATGGTGTATACCATTATGGATTTCACAAATATATTTTGATAGCGTGTGTGTGTGTGACAAGCATTTTGTATTTGGAAACTATTTTGTTAAATATTTGTGTGGATTTTGAAATAATATTTCACTAATTCCATTTTTACAAGATAGTATTTTTTTATAACATAATGAATGATGATGTTGTTTACTGACTATCTAATCGTATAAATGCTTGGTCATCTTGTAAGAATAAAAGTATCATCTAAAACCTATTTAAGTTCTTAAAGTACGCAGCAGTTGCCAGAAAGGGTGTTTTGAACAAAAACATACCTTAATACTAAAAATATATATATATATACACCTTTGATATCATTATTCATAACCTTCTGATACTGTGAAGAATATAGAATAACTAAACATTTACAAAATTATATGAGAATCTAGTTTTAATATATTTAAAAATAGCAGTCACAGAGCACTGTGGTTTAGACATATCCAGTACTGGTTGCATGTTTAACTCAAAATCCTAAAAATAAATTTGCACTTTGCTGGGGGTAAAAGCGTCTCAGATGTAACTGCGAATGAGAGTTTTATTTATTATATCGTATTTATTTTCTAACTGAAAGATACTTTTCTAATCAACAAATGGTTAAGCTGATAGTGCCCTCGTTCATGCAACAGTTATGCCTATATTTAAATATATTCTGATAATTCTTCTTTTATCCTTTTCGCGAAATCTGTATATTGTAAGTTTATTATCGAAATCTAATAGATAAAAATACAATTGCAACTGCATGATATTTGATGATAATATAAAACAATTAAATTCGTTTAATAATTTTTAACAGTGCACACACACAATATATATATATTTAAATATAATAAAACTAGATCATTTCCATATCTGTTTAATGTATATATATGTCTAAAATACAATAAATAATTTATTAATATATTCTTCCAATACAAACCTTTAAAGTCCTATAAATAATAAGTGTAATATAACAAGAACTGGTAATAAAACAAATATTTAGAATATTTAAATATATATATATATTTCTCAAACGGTAACTTCATACCAGTTTCTTTCATTAAATAAAATAAATAATTATAACACAACAATTACTCAAGAGATACACTGATCTATGTGTTACGTCGAATGGCTTAAATGAACCATTTGTATAGAATTATAATGACGTTTTTAGGAGGGTTAATGATTTGGACATCCATTAAAATTCTGGTAGCATACTCTTAGCAGTTAAACGTACGAAGCCAATGTAACTGCGGAATGAACTTCACGCTTTTAGCGGAATGGCGTACTGTACATAGAATAATTTGTGTTTTTGTAACTTTTGCACACTTGTGTGTATTCAGCCCCTCACTAAGGCAGCTACTGAGACGTATTTTACAAACTGACGTGAGTAATAGCCTGCGTAGTTCGTAGTTTTTTCTAGTCTAATTTATTTATTTATTTATTTATTGTCTGTGTTTATTTATTCATGTTTTTGTTTGATTAAAATGGACTCGTATAACAATTTAGGAGGAAAATTTAAAAAATGCTTTCAGTAAGGATTTACCATAAACATTTTGATTATTATATTTTTCTGAATATAAAATCAATGTCTAACCAGCAAACATTTGTTTTATGTAACGACTCTTCTGGGTCCTAGGATGGCATATGACGTCATCAGTACAGATCTTTGTATTTTTCCATTTATAAAAATATAATAAAAAAAGTTTCATGTGAATCGTTATCTTTTTTCATGGACTTCATCTCACCGACAGCAAATTACATTACCATCCTTTTAGTACTAATAAATTACATTATCGTATATTTATATGATGTATTCAAAGCGATTTTCAGAACATACACAGCAATACACAGCTAAAGAAATAGGTGTCTAAATTATAGCGCTTTTTAGGGTCCCAAAAACTTTACCCAAAACAACTGTTTCCCAACAATCTAGCACAAAGTAAATGGCTTATCGTAAATTAATACTCATGAAAGGTTACTAACCGTTAATATTTTTCTTTTTTATTCATTACTGTTAAGCACGAAGCTATGGTCTAGGCAAACGGTTCTCAAACCTTAGTGACCCAAAGACTCTATTAATTTATAATTTTTTCGCGGACTCTCAAACCTACCAATGTTGTTTTTTCTTGTTTTCAAAAAAAGATTCCGTGTACATGAAAAGACGAATTCCAAAATTAAATGTATTAACTCATATAAATTTAATTTTACAAAAAATATTTTTTATTCCATAAATGACGTTTTTAAAATATTTTTATGAAATTTCGGACATGACTCGCGAACCATGGTGGGCTAGACGTCTGTGCTCTTCCCACCATGCTTATCGAAATCCGATATTCAGGTTATAAGCCCTCGGGTTTACCGCTGAGCTAGTGATGGAGGGGGGGGGGGGTGTAAAACTAGAAAATGACGTTACTCCTCAAATGCTAAGCCTAGCCTAAATCATTTCAACACACAAATGTTTCACATCTCTTGGTGTGTATGTTTAAATGTCGAATTTAGGCCAAATCAACAAGCAAATACCTGTAACGTATGTTTACAGACTTTAATTTTGATATAACACCGAACTATAAAATCATGCAAAAACTTACAGTGTCAGATATTTAGCAAAGTTGTAAATTTATGCGTCAGAGCACACTACTTTATTTTTTTTTTTTTAATTAATGAAAACCCTTTC